CGTATTGAATTTCCTCGATCCCGTTGCAGAAATGTTCTCTCACCGTCAAGTCTTGGCTCTCCAAGTCGTACCAGCGGGATAAGAACCACGTTTCTCAGTTGCATCCAGCTTCACCTTTCGTATTCGTGCCACGACGAACAGACTTGACAGCCTAGGGGCTTGGCAGAGATCCCGTATCAAACTTGCCGTCAATGCGACTGCTGTTTGTTGATGGTATTGGTGATTTGTCGGTCAGCCAGCGCAGAAGCCAAGCCCAAATTGCTGGCTAGAGTGTCGGGCCGCATCTAGCTTGTCCTACGGCCAAGTTGCTGCACAATGTCAGGGATTGGTGTACGGCAGCAAATTACAGACTGAAGTTTAGGTTGGTTGGTCCAGCGATAAATGAAAAGGATTGCTGACGCGCAAATGTTGAGTAGGTAAAGTTGTGATGGAGACGGGAGCGCGTGTTAGAGGAAGCGCCGTCTTAACCGTCACTGTACTTTGGCACCAGCAACGGATGGTGTCCCTGGGATACTACCTCACCGGCTCATCTCATCCGATATCATGTCGTCCACTTTAAAGAGGCTATTTGTTGTGCAGTTGTCTGAATCGGAGCTGGCCGAGCTTATGTTGAGCGGAGATCTAGGGTAAGTTACTCGGACGAAACTTGAGAGCACATATTCTACGAGCATTCCAGCGACGCCGTCTCTTAAGCATTAATCTGGAGTCAATGTCTATTTAAGCTTTTGGAAGAATAGAGTGAAATACTAATGCCTCTTTCGAACGGGTATAGTCACCTGTCACGCCCTTGAACACATCAACGGAAGATTTAGATGGGTTCGTTTTTCAAGTAGGAGTCAGCGAGATCGGTTCATTCCTTTAAGACAAAACAAAGATATACACTCTAGGTATGACCATCATGAATGGCCTCTCATGAGACAGGCTCTCAGGCTCACCAGCACTCCAGCCAATGCTCATCAATGATTGCTTGGGGAGATCATGTGATGACCGAGCCACGAACCAAACACAGCCACAGGCGCCCCACATCCGGAAGCGGCCCCTGGGCCGGGGTCTCTCCCACCTCACGAGCACTATCGTTGCGACAACACGTTGACCTTTATCATGATTGATCATTTGCGATAACCTACGAACTTTGTCAAGATGGACGACCTCTCAAGCCTCGATTGGTCCTCCAAGCCGACCGGCGGCCAGCCCAAGCCGCCCGTCATGAACTCGGCCTTTACAACGATGCGACCTACACCATCACCTTTGGGCTCTGGAACCAACACGCCTCTGTCCACACAGGGATCTGGATCTGTTGCCCCTAAACCAGCGCCCCCGAAGGCATCGCAGGATAGCTTTAGCAATCTGATGCACTTTGGGCCGGCCAAGACGAAACAGAACCTGAGTCTGGCGGAGCGACAGGCGCAACTCGAGGCTGAGAAGCGCCAGAAGGAAGCGGAGCGGAGGAAGCAGCAGGAAGCCCAGTTTGGCAATGGGCAGTTTTGGGATGCTCTTGGAAGTCGAGGCGCGTCAACGAGCCCCGCGCTACAACCGCCGGCAGCAGCCCCCAAGCCAAAGAGCGACGATGACGATCTCTTTGCCGCCTTTAACAAGGATACCAAGGTCGATAACGCGAGCTACTACCCTCCTCCTCCCGAATCGCAGCGATCGACACCCGCGAATGCCGCGCCGATGAACTTGAGCGACCCGAACGCCTGGAAATCTCCGAGTGGAACAACTGGGTCGAATGGAGGGGCTTTTGGCGTGGAAGATGACGATCCCTTTGGCTTGAACGAGATGAAGCCAGTCCCCGTTGCTGCGCCTGTGCCACAGAATGATGACGACGATTTCTTGGGAGATCTGGGTCGCCCTGTCGAAGAGGTGCGGCGTGAGCAGGAGGCGAAGCGACCTCAGCCAGAACCTGGAAAGCCGATTGAAGACGGCGACTCGAGCTCCTCAGAGGAGTCCACTCCCGAGGCGCGAGAGCAGTTTCCCGAGCGACAGCCCCGAGTCAACAAAGACCCCTTTGATAGAGCGGTTGCGCAGTTGGTGGACTATGGATTTTCTGCCGAGGACTCTCGTCGCGCTCTGGTTGAAAGTGGTTCTGGCTATAACGCCCAGGCTGCTGTGAACTGGCTTTTAGATGAGGCACACCGCAAATCTAAGGAACAAGCGCAAGGGAAGACCTCTTCTGGAAGCTCAAGTCGCGCCGGAAGCCAGGCTCCGAGGAGCAATGACCGGTCACCGGCCAGGGGAGAGCAAGACTTGGGCAAGACGGCTGCTGCGATGGGTAACAGTCTGTTCAAGACAGCCAATTCGCTCTGGAAGACTGGTCAAAAGAAGATGCAGCAGGCTGTTGCAGACTTCCAGCATGAAGGCGACCCTAGCCAACCTAAGTGGATGCGGGAGGCTCAACAAGCTAGAGCACAAGGACCAGGCAAGGCGAGGGCTGACGCTACGGACGAAGCGCTCATGCTTGAGGGTGGTGGTCGTCCGCCACCTCGTCGAACCGCCAGCCGCCCCGCTGAGCAGAGAGCCTCTCCTCAACCAACATCTCGAGGACAGTCCCCTGCTCATTCTGCGGGCAGCCGTGCTAGCCCTGCTCCTCGATGGCAGCAGCAAGCCCAGCCTCCTCCAGCAGGGTTGGACTCGAGGTCTCGACTTAACCGGCTGGCAGCTGATGACGATAGCTTCTCAACCTATAGCAGCCCTAATAGGAGAAAGAAGGCTGCTTCACCGGCGCCGGCACCAGCTCCCAAGCCTGTCGAGCCGGAGCCCGACTTGCTCTTCAACTCTCAGGCAGTCAAGCCTTCCCTTCCTTCAAGGCCAGCTCAGCCATCCCCTCGACCAACCCCAACCCCACAAGCCAAGCGACCATCGCCTCCAGCTTCAAGACCTTCTCCCCGACCTGCTCGAGAGATTCCTTCTATTAGCCCCGTTTCCCTGCAGACTTCGACACAACACCGACTTCAAGGAACAGCTCACTTTAAGCGTGGTGACTACGCGGCCGCTCACTCATCATACTCTTCCTCGCTATCGGCTGTCCCCCCAACTCACCCTCTTGCTATTCTTCTCCTTACCAACCGTGCCCTGACGGCTCTCAAAACCGGAGAGCCCAAGCAAGCTGTTGATGATGCTGATAGTGCGCTGAAGCTCATCGGACCTGGTCTTGGTCAAGGAGAGACAGTAGCTGTGAAGAATGAGAGTGGTGTAGACGAGAATCGGGATATGAAGGATCTCTATGGTAAGGCCTTGAGCCGGAAGGCCGAGGCTCTTGAACAAATGGAGAAGTGGAGGGATGCTAGTGTAGTCTGGCAGACGTGTGTCGAGGGTGGTGTTGGCGGTGCCAATGCTATCAAGGGACGTCAGCGATGCCAGAACGCTCTCGCACCCAAGCCTAAGCCAACACCCAAGCCTGCGGCAGCCAAGCCTCGACCTCGGCCGTCAGCGACTGCTAGCCTTGGGCCCCAGAAGAGCTCTGAGGCTGTCACTCGTCTGCGTGAAGCAAACGAGGCTGCTGCTCGAGAGGATGACGAGAAGTTTGTGCTCTCGGAGAAGGTTGACGCCAAGATCTCTACCTGGCGTGACGGAAAGCGAGACAACCTACGGGCACTTATTGCTAGTCTCGATACTGTCCTTTGGGAGGGTAGTGGGTGGAAGAAGGTGGGCTTGCACGAGTTGGTTATGGCCAACAAGGTCAAGATCAATTATATGAAGGCGATTGCAAAGACACACCCCGACAAGGTAAGTTCGATATATGCGCTTTGGTGGAACATTATTCTGACATATACAGCTTCCGCAAGACGCAAGCACTGAGGTGAGGTTGATTGCTGGCTTGGTGTTTAGTACACTTAACGAGAGCTGGGACAAGTTCAAGGCAGACAATGGGCTGTGAGCGATTATGCATGAGACGAGTATGAAGTAGCGGTGTTTGTAGAGCGTTGATCACGATAGAAGCATGCCTTGGGAGGAACGAGTATATGAATGTTGATTTAAGCGGCGCATACCGCTGCCGAACACCATGCTATGTATATGTATTTATGCCATTTCCCCAACGTTAGAACTTTGCGCCAATACTCCTGTTGATATCCCTCCCTCTTTATAGTCCCAGCATCCTCCGCACTCCTTCGCGGACTTTGTTTTCGTAGTCGCCTCGGCGCTCACGCCACATCTTGGCGGCTTCGACGTTGGCGGGACTCTCGTCGTTGGGCTCGGCAAGCATGCTCATGACGGAGATGAGGATCTTTTCGACAGATTGGATTGGGGACCAGCGCTCGGAGGCGTGCTCGTAGTGGTTGGGGTCGTCACCGGGAGGGTGGAGGATGGAGATGCAGACGAGGCCGCTGGGGTACACTTTACAAAGGTTAGATCCAAGACAGACTTGCGACTGGGGTCAGTTTCAACTCACCATTCGGGTGCCACACGTCGGCGAGGAACTTCATAGATGGCGGGGCAAGCGGGTAGTCCTTGGGAAACTTGAGCTCTGCGGGAAAGACACCGCCCTCAAACGGCGTGCCCTCAGGTCCCTGAATCAGACACTCCCAGTGAAGAAGGTCATCCTCAGAGATGGGACCTGCAGTGATGCCCTCGGGAGGATTGTTGGTGAGCGCGCGATACTCTTGGAGAAGGCGGCGGTGGGCGGTGGACGTCATGATGCGGGGGTTTTACTTCCAGCGGAAGAGGTCGGGTTTGGAGGATGAAAGTGGGAGAATAGTCGCGACAAAGAATAAGAGTGCGGCTATCAACTTGGACACTCTTGGGTTATGGATAAGAAGAGAATCGGACAACTTTAAGGTTGAGGATGCGCGGCGTCGGAGGAGGTGGAGGGAAGCACCACGGCTAGTGGGGCACCCGGCATCCGGAGGATCCACCCGACAAACCCCACTCTTCACAAGTATATATCCGGCAAGTTGACACGAAGCATAAAAATGAAGTGATCACAGCATAAATGAATGAATGAGCTATGAAGAGACAGATACATACGTAGGCAAAAAATGCTAAAAAGGGCAAAAGATAAACTCCGATACGGGGAATTGAACCCCGGTCCCCGCGGCACGTTTCCGAGATGAAAACGCGGTATGATAACCACTACACTATATCGGACTTTGTTGAATGCAGGGCTTCATAATTGAGTACATCTGCAGTAGTGTTTCCAGGGCGTGAGGAGGCTGGTGAGTGTCGTCGGTCTCTGGGAGAGCACTGGACGGCTCGCTTTTCGTGTTCTGCATGGTATGTGCTGGTAGAATTGATAATGGGGAGAATGGTGAAGAAATACTCCTGAGAACGCGATGAGTCGTGAATGAAACTGGCTGGTTGTGTAACCCGATAGCACGCTGATGTCGACAGCTGTCGGCCACTGCGAAGTGGATTCGTCAGTTTATTGCTATCCTCGCTCAAGTAAAAGAAGAAGAGCTTGGGGCGCATATGAGAGGAATAAGGGGACGTCTTATAACATAGAACTTGCTAGAATGTGTGCGACTGAGGGTGCTGCGGTTGCCCGACGGGATCTAGTTAGTAGGTACACTCCGAGTTTGTGACACAAACAATGACCCTGGCAAATACAAACTGATTTCTCAGGTATAGAGGCTTGTAGCTGAAGAGGACCCTTGTTTCAGTTTCTCTAGTGACCGTGGAACATTCCAGAGCCCAATCGTCCAAGGTATTGGGGAGGATGGGATATGGAGAGCCATCTTGACGTTGCGTGGCCATGTTCCGTATTAAAGCAGCAAGATCAGAGGAATGTATGTTACTAGGGACCTCACTTGTAAACCAACCCTTGTCCATACACTATTGCGTGGGACAAATCCAAGACAAGCTGCCTTATGCCTCTTCCTCCCTAACACACGCATTCCGTCCTTTAAATCTCCTCTAACTTGTCCTTATTGTTTTCCTATAGAGAGGCATATATGACTCAAGAGAACTTAGCATCATCATCTAGCCGTGAATATATCCTAACCTACTGTCTCCCTCATAAAAGACCCATTAGCATAAAGTATTTATCGATGGTATAGGTTAGCATCACTGGGGGCCTTGACTACCACGATCCATCTCCCTACAGGCTTGGCCAAGCGATGTTAACGTACGAAATGTGTATCGAATATAGAGCTCTCATCATAAGTTTTATAATAATGGATAGGAACATTGACTAGATCCTGCAACGGTGTCTGTTCAAAGCTCCCCATCGTCGCTGCTTCACCACCCTCACCACTCATCAATATTATGTCCAGCCAACATCATCTCTCCCTGAGACATCTCAAGTAGCTTGTCACTTTCAATTCCTATTACCTAGGCCCAAGCAACTAAAAGAAACCGAGGTTATTGCAATCATTGCAACAGCCGACATTGGCCGCTTAGACTCCCAACCTCACAAAAGTCGTGACGTAACAAGCGGCTGAGCCCGCTCACTGCCCCTGATCAAACTCGGCCCCAATCTCGATCAGAACCTTTTTTCTCATGGCGTTTTTCTGAACTTTGCCATGAAGGGAACAACACGACGTGACTGGACAATTGGTTGACTTGTCTCACGTGGGGAACGCCTTCTCCCCCGCAAATGTCCGCATTGTAGCGTCATTGACGTCACCAGCCGGAGCTTTGTTCCTGAGCTTGTGGAAAGGGAGGTTGTTTTGTTTTGCTTTGTCGTCATGGTGAAGTACGTCATGTTAATTGGGAATGAGCAATCATTCATAATGTAGTAGGTCCCGAATTTATTCACTTTGTTTGTTTCTCAACTCCGCCTTTCTCCTTCAATTGACCTTCATCTTCACCCAACCACCCTTCATTATACTCGACTTCCCTCATTCCTCTTCTTAACTCGGCATCATGATCCCCACCCGCCCTCTCATTCGATCCAGCCTCCCTCGGGCGGCACGCTCTGTCCGCGCCCCTCGCCGTCAACAAATTCGCTTCCAATCGACTTCCACAAGCGGCGCCAGCTCAAACAACACACACCTCGCAGCTGGAATTGCTGGAGGTGTTGTCGGCTCTGCAATCTTCTACGGCGTCTATTCCTTCACTCCTGCTGGACGAACTGCCTCAAAACTCAACAAGGCAGCAAAGGAGGCTGAGAAGAAGTATGAAGTCGCCGCGAAGAAGCTGCAGGAGAAAACCCCCACCGCCGAACAGGCTGTCAACCACATCAAGGAGTTTGCCTACTCATACGTCGGATGGATCCCTGGTGGCCGCGCATACGTCGATGCTGCTTTCAACGACTGGGACAAAGTCCGCGAGAACAACAAGGATGAAGCTGATAAGCTTGTCAACGATGCCTACAAGCAATTCCAAGACCTTTCCAAGTCAGGTCTGAGTCTTGAAACCGCATACAAGGCCTACGATGTTCTCGCCGACCTCTCCAAGAAGATCGCAAACCTTGCTGGTGACGCCATCAGCGACATCATTGATAACCACCCCCAAGTCAAGGAGAAGCTAGGCGGAAACGTCGACCAGCTGAAGGAGCTTGGTGAGCGGTACGGTCCTGAGGCGAAGAAGCAAGTGGACGAGACCTGGAAGCAGGTCAAGGACATCTTTGCTGGAGGTTTTAGCGCTAGCAGCATAGACAAGGCGCGCAAGCTCATCGAGGAAAAGGTTGAGCAGGTTAAGAAGTTGGGCGACGAGGCATGGAAGAAGGGTCTTGAGGAGGCTAAGCCTTACCTCGATAAGAACCCCAAGGTTAAGGAGCTTCTTGAGAAGAACGCCGACGCCCTCAAGCAAGGAAATGCCAAGGAGATCTTTGACAAGGCCAAGTCGGCCGTTGACTCTGGCGATCTAGGCGGTCTTGAAAAATACGTCAAGGATGCGACTGAAAAGGTCAAGTCCAAGGGCTCCGAGCTAGCAGATGGCTGGGTAGATCTGGACAAGTACATCAAGCAGATTCCTCAGGGTGAGGATGTCCTGAACAAGCTGCAGCAGCTGGGTGAGGTGGCAGAAAAGCACAAGGAGGAGGGAGAGAAGCTTTTCCAGGAGACTGTTGAGGAGTTGAGACATGTTCTTGAGAAGAAGTCGGAGAAGGCTCAGGAGATTGCTGACAAGGCTAAGAAGGAGGCCAAGTAGAGGTGCAATCTTGTATTCTAGTATGCTTATCATGATATCCTCTTAATGGTTAACTAAAAAAATGCATCTCGAACAGGGATTATTTCTATTGATACGAGAGGAACAGCCGAGTCTTTTTAGAATGTTGAAGCTGCCTTTCAGAGAGATAAGAAGCTATTCTTCGACGAAGTAGTGGAACGCTAGACTCCTACAATCGCGGTGATGCTTCACAGCGTCACCTAGGGGAGGCAGGAATCATTCCAATGAGATAGTTCTCTTTCAAGTCTAGATGGGTACTGGGGAAATATGGTAATTATTTGGGAACCAGAAGGGAAGTTTCAGCTATCCACTATTGGTGTTGCCATGGTAATGTGGAAATTTGTTAACAAACGAGCTATCGACGGCGTTCAATAGTCTGACAATTTGTCCCACATCTGTCATTTTCCCTTAGCTAAGAACGAAATAATTATTATAGGCATGGTCAAATAGAAAGCAACAAGAAAGGAAACTGATCATTAAATTAATACGAGGGGAAAAGCTCGTCGTCACAATCTCTGAACCACTTGTTGGATGGATGCGAACCCGTCCGTAAGTAGGCAGTTTCAAGTCACAATATAGATAACTGGGTAACATGAACACCGAAGGTACTGGAATGTGCCAAGCTCATTGAACTCGAGCTGTTGCTTCGTCAAAAGACCCTACCCTGCTATCGAAGTATTTTGGTGACTTTGTGGCCCTCATTAAGATGTTTAGCAACATGCTCATTCTCATGCCTCCGAATCTCTCTAGACATTGCTCCTTCAAGGGCTGTACTTCAACCCACCACGACCAATCCGTCGACCATTCAGGAAATAGTACTGCAAGTTGGCAACAACAGAAGCAATCAAACCAACAGACACAACAGCCACAATCACAGTCCAACCAGTCTCATACAGAGGCGCATCCTTTTGCTGAAACAGCTGGCTTCCAATAATACCGGATGCGTTGGCCGACATGATGAGGATGGCCATGGTGATGGAGCGTTCGCCTGCGGTTCCGGCGTTGAGAGCCATCCAGGAGCCGTTGAGAGGGTCTAAAAGGTGATTAGTCTTGATCTTGAGAGTGTGGTTCTTGTGATTGGACTTACGCCATTGCCAGCCGAAGCTGAGGGTACAAGTCAAGAGAGCGAATCTTTTGTGTCCATCAGTTGACTTGATGAGAAGACGATCTCCAATCTACCTCAAGTTAGTCAAGTCCAATCTTTACAGCAAGTTAACATACTGCAAAAGCCCAGAAAATGAAAATGCCAAGCGTCACAAGGGGACCACGCATGCGAAGCTTGTCACTACTCGCCAGTTAACTCTCGTCTTTACAAACAAAGTCATCAACATACCCTAGGAAACCCCAAAGCAGATTGCTAAGAATGAGAATCCAACCGCCAATGGAAACCAGAGCGTTGGACTTGAGTCTCTCATATCCAAAAGACCTCACAAGAGTAGGCGAGTAGGAACCCATAGTGCTGGCCGGAGCAAGACCCGCGATGGTAAGGATAACGTGGGGGATAAGTTTCCAGTTGGTCAACTACACAAGTTAGAAACCTGAAGTTTAACAGGGATATGAATGTACATACCACATTCTTGAACTCTTGCTTCGTGATCTGAGGCTTGACGTGGATCTTGGAAGGATCGTCAAGTAGGATTCGCTTGGTCAGGATTCGACCCTCATCTTCGGTGAAGAGACGGATCTTGAAGAGGGAGACGGGGTTGTAGGTGCTGTCTGGGAAGAGGGATAGAAAGATGAGTCCAGTAAGAATGGTGAAGATTCCCTCAAGCTGGTCTTGTTAGTTGATGCTATCCATGATGAATGGATCAAGACTTACGATGAAGAGCCATTGCCAACCGGCGAGCCCAGCGATGCCTCGCATGTGCAGACTGCATTGTAATTAGCAAGCCATTTGTAGGCCTATTGCATTTTTTTTTACTTACATGCCGTAGGCAATAAGGCCAGATGAAGCTGAAGCAATCATGTTTCCGAGAAAGTACCAAGAGAATCGCTTGCTAGTCTCATCCTTCTTGTACCATCGAGTGATGGTGTACAGA